AAATGTAATAAAGTTTCACATTAAAGTGGGAGCTCTTAAATGTGATAAGTTGTAATTAAATAAAGCATACCACAAAATGAATAATTAATTCGTATAAAATACGACATAACAAAATCACAAGGTGGCAATACATTTTATGTCAAATTAATAATTTAAATAAGAAAGAACATAACGATCAGAAAGTCTACTTTTTTGGTGCAGATTCCATTTTGAAACTTCAGGACTGGCAGGACTTTGGCTGTGAAAGAATAATGCTAGATTTACCTATGGTTTTTTAATTAATAAGTTTTAGAAATATATTTAAATATAAAATTATGGTGTAATTTTAAGTTGTTCATTATTATCTATTTCTTACGTATTGTTTATATTTTTTCTCAGTTCGTATACATTAATATTATTTAATGGTACTTCATCAATTACAGAGTCTGAGCACAGAAAAAGTTATTATTTGAGATATTTTTATACGAACTGATATCAATATAGGAAATCAGCCGTCTCTCTGCAAGTGACCGTTTTGTAAATGCATTTGTTCCGAATTTTTACTTTCTGAACTTTTATGGGTTTAATAAAATCAGTGTTTGTAATTACTCCTGCTTGGGATTCTACCAGACCGTCTTCCGAATATTCGCCAGAACAAAGGTTTTTCATGAAACAGACTAACTGACACCTACCTGGTTTCGTAAGACATGAATATTTATATAAATTCTGTTTGTGAGATAAATACGGTAGTTAAAGGGCATAAACATGAAATATTTTGAACAAATGAGCTGTATGCATAATTAATCGTAACAGTCAATTATAACAGTACAACCGAGTACAATAATTTATTTCTACGGTAAGTAAACAATTTATAACGACGACAAATCAGCGTTCTTATAATTATGCATATTCTGACCCTCAAATGCAAATGATAATAGGCTTATCAGTATCCGCGTGGGTAATAACTACAATAAAGATGTATAAGGATGAAGGAGCGATGGTCCACATATTCTATACTTTGCTCTACCATTAAGTAAAGAAAGCTCTTTCTTCTATATCAAATTCTCATCTAGCACGTCAAACTCAGATTTGAGATTCTCGTGGCGAGTACGAAGATGTCTGTCTTCTGGGTTGTAGCACCGCGAAGCCTGGTAGGAGTTTACCAATGTTTCAGAGGTGCTTGCTACCTCCATTATCAGGGTGCCCTATAAAGCTAGGATGAATTGATAGGTAATGAGACGTAGACACATCGGTTCAAGGACGAAACCAAATAAAGTGGCAAATCGTAGAATCACCAAATCCCAAAAAATGTTGAGAAGCAAAATAATATTAAACAGCATTATATAAACATATTTCCTGCAAAAGCGATGTAGAGTAAAAACTTTCCAAGAGAGTCTACTTGCATGCTTCCATGATACGCCCCTCGAGCAATGTCGACAGAAGTCCTCCCAACGGACGTTACGCAAAGGACCTCTCACCAAGTGAATCTGAATCATTCTTTCTAATACTGATGACGAGTGTAATGTCGGGCAAGTTTGATTACATGACTAAATGAGAAAGATGTTTTGTTGATGGGGTCAAGGAATTAATTGGTCGATCACTGGAAGACAAGAAATAAAATAAATTGTGACTACGTCAAGAAACAAAGAGTTAGTTGCACTGTAGAAAAATACATGCATCTCATGCTCGCAGATATGAGCTTCATTTCGGGTTTAAATAAATCTTTTTGAGGCTAAAAATGTTCTGTGGAGGTAAAGGGTGTTTGATGTCTTTTACCTACTTACGAAGCTGACGGGCGATGACCGACACAGAAATTTAAAATAAATATTTCACATTTCATTGAATTTTTTGAATTACGAGCTCCTTGCGTATCTGAATTGATAAGTTCTCAAAAAGACACCCTCAAATGTTACAAAAATGGTATTTCGTACAACACAGATTTTGAAAATTGAAGAAAACAGTCACACATTTTCTTCATATGTTAAAATCACATTAAACTGAAAAAACTCAAAGTTTGTATTTTGTCAAATACTTTCCAAATGACACAAATGGAATATCCTAAAGATTTTAATTCTGAGACTTAAACCATGAAATATATCAGCGACAATAAGCGAAACAACAGGAATGACAGAATCGCTTATTTATATTTTTTTTCCCCTTTATCTATAGTTTCCAATTTCATTACACCATAAACAACCTGCCCCATTCATGACATTTCCATACCTGTGATTTATTCCTGTTGTTGTCCTTGATGGGCGTTCCGTTAATAATTTCTCAAAATCAGGAAGGTTCCATAGTCAGAAATAATTACGAAATACTGCTTCGGCACATCCCGGACCCTCCGCAACCTCAAGAAGTTACTGCAAATCCTGATGAGTCTGAAATTCAAAACTTATGTTATATAAACTGTTCTCCAGTCTATATAAAACCACGATAAAAAAGTTCAGAGTTCGATACATTACGCGGTACTCTAATATTCCATTGCTCAACCATCAAAATGCCATACATCCCATAAAATGTTTATTTCACCATCTATATTATTTGGAGAATCAGAGCTTAAAGGTGAATAAGAAATCCAAATAAGTGGATTCCTTTTAAAAAGTTAAAAATAATAAATTTATCTTAAATATGCTCTCATTTTAAACCACTCTTTACTTTATTGAAATCTTTGCCTGTCTTATATTGTATAAAATCAAAATATAAATAAGCTTCACTTAGCTGGATATGAAATTATAATGACCGAGTATTTAAACTGACTTTTAGCCATAGAATTCTTATAAACGAACACCCGATCAGGATATTCCCTTACGGAATCAAATTACTAGTGCACACACATAACATAAAAAAATTCACCTAGTTTCGGACATGTCATTCTGATACTTCAGAACGTAACCATCTCAAAAATAAACGCAAATTCATTGTTATAACCGAGTCTGACGACTCATCCCTTTTTTCACTTTTTTGCATATATGTCCATTACACAGCGTTAAATATGTCAGCTGATGAGATGAGTTCCCATCGGCATGCACGCTATAAAGGATATAATTTGTTACACAGTAGCCCTGATGAGAGCAGAGATTGTTCTCGAAACGTCGGCAGGAGACATGGTTTATTCACCGTTCAGCCACCTGACGCGGCTTGTAACCCGAGAGTCTTTTACCAACTTCAGTTGCCATGTAAGCTTCACTTTATACTTTAAATATTGCAGTGCAATTTACATATTTTCCCCTATCATCACTAAAAATACATAAACATGTTTTAAACACAGTTTTCATTGTTTTCTATTGATTAATTTGTTTATCCAGTACTGACTGCTGAGAAAGCCACCGAGTGAGAAATCGGAGGCCTCGACTTTGTTTCTATATTAGAAATTATTCAATACGCGCAATATGTAACTTGCAATATAAAGCTGTCTATAAATTAGCAGAATCACTTGAAGGGTGCGTAATTATTTATTTATAAGACGTCAAAAATTCATGTACAAAACAGCTGCACAACATGAAGTATTTTTCACAAGTGGTCACAGAAGTTCACACATTTTTTTTTGTGTGCGTGTTATAAATAAATAATTATACACCCTTGAAATCATTTACTAATTTATGAACACTCAGTGTATCAAAATATCCCTAAATGTATTAATTTAAAGAAAAAGTATTCATTAACTTACACTAATTTAATTTATAACTTTACAAATCTCCTGTTCTTAACATTTTCTTTACGTAACGTAAATCCGTAATGATATAATAAAATGCAAATTAGCTCTATTGTACTGGACTCGTACATGGATGATCGTGCATTCAGATCCTGGTCATGTTCTAAAGAAAATTATTGTAAAAAGAACTGTATATTTTTAATAAATCCATACATCACTTCAGGACCACAAATTAATTGGCACTAGCATCATTCCCACGAAGGAGCTCGTGTATCTGCCACGTTGTAGGAAATTAAAACGTACGTTTCTTGGGTACCCTCCGACGGCATAACATCCAAAACAAATTTCATAAAATTCCATTCAATGGTTCGAGAGTTGAATCAGGCAGACAGGCATTCATTTTATGTACATCCTGCAAAGAATGCATAAAAAATAATTATTTTAGCAATATCAGCCTCTGCATATACGTGAACTAAAAACCAACAGAAACTATAATATTATATATATATTGGTTGGGAAGCCTGAGGGGAAGACCTAGATGTAGATGGGAGGATAATCTCAGGCGGGATCTATGGGAGATAGGAGTTGAAGGAGACTGGATTTTGTTGGCCCAGGACAGGGTCCGGTGGAGGGCTTTGGTTAATTCGGTGATGAATCTTTCAGTTCCCTAAGCCATCTAGTTATTTTCTTTATGTAATGAAACCTTTTATATTTCAGAAGTTCAGAATTTAGGAGCTCACTGATATTAGTGTCAGCACACTGAATGTCATTTATTTAATGATGCTGTCAGTAGCTCAGACTGTATAGTATAGAAAAATGGGATGGTTAATGAATAATGATTTGGAGAGGATATGGAAAATAATAGTCATGACCTGATTTAAGGTACTCTTCTGGCACTTGCTGGGAGAGACTAGAGGAAAAAATGGAAATCCTCAGTCAGGATAGTTGGTCTCCAGAACAAATGTTAATAATCTGAATATTTGCTGAATATAAATTTATTTTAAAGTTTATTTATAGTGTATTTTCTTCTCTGTTTTGGGGTATACTGAAATTCCAGAAGTGTTCTTCTCACCATATTACAGGTGGTGATGTCCGGAGTTTTCTTTGTTGATAACCACAGTTCAAAGGAACTGTAGACTTAGATTAGGAGTAAGAAAAGCAACAGTGGTATGAAAAGTCAGTTGTGATGATTTGATCTGAGGTCATTATTGTAAACCAACAATGACCTTGTTTCCCATTGTTGTAACATCATGCCTAGTTTCCAAGATTCGGAAATCTCTCTGACCAGACTTTGAATCAGGGCTCATTTTTCAGAGTTTTGACCATTCTGAATTATCGTTTTGGTTTCAAGGAATAAACATGCCAGGTTTGGTGCAAATCGGTTTACTTGTTCTTGACCTAAAGCAAACATACATACGTACCCATAATTTCAAATTTTATATATATATATATAAGATTTAGAGAGACAAATTTAATATTTGTGTAGAAGGACTGAGGAAAAACAGGAAATCTCTTGAGAATAAATTATCCTATGATTTCATATAAATACCTGAATATAAGCTAGATTTAAATGTAAAGCCAACCCATTACATGCTGATGTTGGCACTGAGGGGCAAAGGAGATATAGCTCCTACTCATTCTCATCCTTGGTACTAGAAGGGGGTGAGTGGCCAGCAGCATGCCTTGGCCTTTCTTTACCCCCAGGAAAGGACCCTGGTGCCCATTGAACAGGAGGCTGGGTGGGCCGCAGAGCCAGTCTGGACGCAGGTGAGAAGAAAATCCTCTGCCTCTGTCGGGAATCGAACCACGATCACCCAGCCCATAGCCAGTCACTGTACTGACTGAGCTACCTGACTCATAAGCTAGATATGTGACAGAATATATACAATGCATTATTGTTACAGATGATCGAAGTAAAATTTATAATTGAACGTGTATTGATGACTAACAAATGTGTTTTTGTTTAAACAGGGTGCTGAAACTGTTGCTGTCAAGAGTAAACACGACCTGCCATTTCAAAAAAATTATATTGAAGAACAGAAATTGAAAAAGTCTCCAGTATCATGTGAATTGAAGGACAGACATATCAAAACAGAAAGAGTGGAAGTAATCACAGAACATAACAGAGAGAATCAGATAAAGGAAGGAGCTGAAGAATTGTCATCTGCTGATGGAACAGTCAGTACTGTAGGTAGCAGTGAAGTATTGGCTTCAAATATTGAAGATAAAGCAAATAGGCACAGAAGTGACAGTACTGATTTTTCAGATGAAGAGAACAGTTTTGAGATATTGAGTGAATGAATTGAATACTGCTTGGATGCTTTTAATGTGTTAGTGATTTTGTGTGGATGTATATACAATTGCTTACATAGCTGCTGGTGATTTAATGTACAACTTTGACATTCTGGGCTAAGCCACAATGAGATTTGAAGGTGTTCTAATGTTTCAGCAAACAGTGCATTTGACATCTTCATGGTGAAGTAACTACAGCTTATGAAGACTGTATCAGAGACAGTGACATTTTGATTTTGTGCCTCTTAATTGAAGAACAAATGACTGAAAACTGTACAGAATTAGTTGGATAATTGAATACATAGTGCATGTTCCTAATTTGACATATATCTTTCTTCAGTTCAGATGTATGTTCAAAAGAGAAGTCTTGTAGTAGATACAGTATAATTATTTTTATATCTTAATTGCGTCATGTTTGTGTTATATCAATACATATATTTATTTTCCAGTCTATACACAAAACTTGTTTTAAAATAATGTTGTTTAAAATTTTATAACATTTACAATATAAATTGCATTATGTTATATTTTATATTTTATGGTGCTTTCTGTGTCGTATAATATTACATCTTTCCAGCGCTTTTGATTTTTGACGACATGTTTCGATGTTTACCACATCATCTTCAGGCTTATCAATACATACATTTTAAAAACTATTGTACATTTTTGTGCATTGCATTTATTGATTTTTAGTTTTCTGTCTTCATCTTGATTTGGAGTATGCATTTAGATGTTCATTATCTGTGAAATTAATTTTTCTTTTTCAAGTTCGTGATTATGGATTTTGACATAGGAAATATAATAACAATTCAAAGAGTGTAAGATTGTAAGCGCTGGAAAGATGTAATATTATACGACACAGAAAAGCGCCACAAAATATAAAATATAACATAATTCAATTTATATTGTAAATGTTACAAAATTTTAAACAACATTATTTTAAAACAAGTTTTGTGTATAGACTGGAAAAATAAATATATGTATTGATATAACACAAACATGACGCAATGAAGATATAAATTCATTAAATGAATGAACCTTTAGCAGCTTCATGATAATACTGTGTTTCTGTTCTTCTATTTCAGCTGCAATGAATGAAAACTCTTGTACAAGAGCGGGCACTCCTCGTGAAATATCTCCTGCATCTTTGACACCGTATACCAATGTGACTGTTGTAATTGATAAAAACTGGGCATACAGTGACATCAAGAAGATTCTATCGTAAGTATGGGTCAGAGATTACAAAGCATACCGTGACCATCAAACAATAAACACTAACTTTAGACTGCAGGCAATGTAAAAACATAATAAGTGTAACTCTTCAACATAAGATTAATTTTTTAGTACTATGTTAGATTTTATCAAAATTCTTGATGGATAATTGTCTAGTTTTGTTAATAATAGTCTATACATTTTTTTTGTAGCTACTTGGTGAAGAAGCTTGAATTAGGAGAATATGGAAGTCGAATCACTGTGCTCGATGGAAAAAAGAGAATTCCATTCGTCACTGATGTAATGTATACAACTGATTTTGATGCAGAATTCAATGAGTCTGCTTACAACACTCGTAAGTTTCTTACTGTTTCCCAGTCATCACTAGAGCTTCAAAATAAAATAAAATAAATAAACTCATTATACATAACAAATGTGGTAAAAGAGAAATTTTTTAGATTATATAACTAAGTTCATATGACATGATCTTCCTTTAAAAAGTTAATAGAAAAACAAAGAAATTCCCTGCCTTCATGGAATCAAAAGTATTTGTCATTATGTTCACAAAAGCCAATCACTGGACCACATCCTAATCCACTGAACCCAGTCAACGCCCTCTAAGGTCCCTCATAGCTGAAACAAGAAGATGGGGCATCAGAGTATAATCTGTAACTACAATTCCTGAACTTCATATAAAATAATTTAACTTGTTATAATCCTTCACCAATTACTCAGAGTAATTAAATTTCTGATATAAATCTAAAGTTTAAACTCCACTAATAACAATGCCCACTACCACTACCAAACATGCTTCTGTAACATTTCTATCCACCTTACATCCTCACAGCCTGCCTCCCTAAGGTTCCTTTTAATATTATACTCTCGTCTCTTTCTCAGTCTTCCAAGAGGTTTCCCTGCTAGTAATTGCTTTAGTCGCTAATTTATTTTATGGATACAAGGGGTGTGACCCTCTTAATATCAGCACCGAACAAATGCACATCAGTTGACCCGTCTGGTTTTAAAATTCAATGTGAACTAAACTCTTTATAGATGAAGGCGGAATGGATATCCCAAGAGCACTTGAACAAGAGCTTCAGAAAAACATGGAGGATCTTCTCATAGCAGAGGAGAGGAGTAAAACAGCTGGAGGAAGATCAACAGTTATTGTGTTCATACCCCGAGAATCAGTCAACCTGAATAACAATGATTTAACAATTGCAAAGGAGCGAGTCAAGCATTTTAGAGAATACCTTCCAGGTTAGTACCTTAAAAACATTTTAGTGTGGTTAAGTGTCACAATCCATCTCATCTCTGTTGGCACTACTACCAAATTTAGGCCAAAATACATTTTCTAATCGTCGAGTTAGCGGACTCTGGTTCAAAGATCAGACCATCGCAAGACAACAATATTTAACAAGGTTAAACAACAGTAATGCTCTAGACTTGTATTCAAAAGGTACAAAGTTTGATTCTTGGCTGGGTTATGGATATCCTGAGGTATTTTGTGGTCTTCCTCAGTCTGTCAATGCAAATGCAAGGATAGCACCTTCAGACAGACTATAACTACCTACTTCCAAATCCCTACCTGCACATAAGTCAGAACTAACTTTCTGTTTCATTTAATGCTCTGTAACCTTTGCAGCTGAAAGAATATCACAAAATGAACCAGTGAACAATAATCGTAGGACAACATACAAAGAATTCAAACATCCCACTGTCTGAATAGCCTATAATAACATGCATTACCACTGAGAATGTTCACAATGTGTGATATTTTAGATTGCGTTTTAACAGAAATGTCAATATCCCCACGTGCTCACTGTTACGCCTTCTCTGCAACAAAATGCACAAATATTTGGAATTTCATGTTTGTCCTTCTGCATCTGTGAAATTAATAAATGAATTTTTATTAAATTTTGTATCGAAAGGTTCATAGTAAAATTTGCTGTACATATATTATTTTTTATCCATATCAGTCCAATACGTTATCCTTACATTACTTTGCATTAAGACTTTATGAAGTTTCTCAAACAGCCTACAGATCATAAAAAATGCTACATAATATAAAATACAATTTTTTTTAATTCTACAAGTTTTATATAAAATTTTTATCAATGTAAGGAATATTTAATAGAATATAATAAATGATTTCTGTGCATTGTGACATTTGTAGCGAGATAACTTTCCTACATTAAATTTGTGATTGCAGTGAATGGAGACGAAGGCTTCTCTTTTCTTTTACTTCACACAGAATATTGTAAAAAATATAAACATGTGATTTTAAAAGCTTTAGAAATAATGATATGCGAGCCATTGCAATAAAGAGTAATTAAAGATCATTTTCCTTTATCTCAACTACGTTAAAGTTTCTTAAGCTAAGATGAGGGAAGATGTCAATGAATAGTTATTAATTAACTGATACACCTTTATAAGAAACTTCCAGACTAAGCTACATTTACGTTAATTGAATGATTTGAATTTCATTTGTTTCAGATGTTAAATTCCTGTATCTGTCTCCTGGAAACAAGGACAATTACAAGGAGCTAGTAGACAATCCCTCAACTGACATCTTTACATTTATTTACCAGGGAACTGAAATTGAAATACCTGGCATTGTCGATCCACTTGTTGACAGAATTAAGAGGGGTAAGCTTACCTCACTTAAGTACGAATTTCAATTTACATAGTGAGCAGGTTGGTTTAAGGGTACTACTCTAGATTTGTACTGGAAGTTATGTGGTTTTAGTCTCAGCGAAAGTCACTTAATAATAAGAGACCCCAGGCAAATTTACATAGTACAAGCCTTGATGCACATTTTACCCAGAGAGATATTTTAACTTTGTTTTAGTTCTGAGCGGAAGCTGTGAACATTTCAGCATGCTAAAAAAAAAAAAAATAACCATTGGTATTTGATTAATGAGCCCCAATAGTTCAGACACCAAAGCGAATGACTGGCCATGGGCTGTATGATCAAGGTTCAATTCCCTGCAGTGGCAGAGATATTTCTCTTCACAACCACAGATTAGCTCTGGGGAAACCTAGAACTCTCATCTGATTGGCCACCCTTTCCTTGGCGGTAAAGATGATGTAGCATGAAGCTGACCAGTCACCTTCATCTAGTATCAAAGTTAAAATGTGTAGATTTTACCTCCACCCCCTTATATCTTCATGGCATGGTGCTTATGCGCAGGAACTTTAACTTTTTTATGTTATGCGTCTGTGTCTTTATGGTGTATGGCATTTTGTATTTGACTTGTCAAAGACCACTGTCATAAAGAGGTGAATCTGGTATTAATTTTTTTCTAGGTGGTATTAATTTTTTTTTTTAAGTTAAGTACTTTAGGTTGGATTGTTTTGTAATTTATGAGTTGGTTGATTTTGAGTGGGATGTGTTGTTTTGTTGTGTCTTATTGTTTTTGTTGTGTCCTTTTGTTTATTGTTTTGTTCTGTCTCTGTGTTGATGTATCTCATTGTTTGGTGTGTCTTATTGTTTTTGTTGTGTCCTTTTGTTTATTGTTTTGTTCTGTCTCTGTGTTGATGTATCTCATTGTTTGGTGTGTCTTATTGTTTTTGTTGTGTCCTTTTGTTTATTGTTTTGTTCTGTCTCTGTGTTGATGTATCTCATTGTTCTGTTCTGTCTCATTGTTTTGTATCTTATTGTAGGTCACTGCCACCGGGTATAAACCCATTTGCAGTCAATAATAAATAATAATAAAAATGGTTATTGTTTATTTTACTAGTTCCACTGAGACTGCAAAACCCAACTTGTGGTGCTGATTGGAGTAGGGAAGATTATGGCACTGCTGAATACATACATTCTGTCAAGTCGAAGGGAGTGAAATATCATCGACTGCATCCCAACTACTTCTATGGGGTAGAATCAGCAAAAGTCACAGTAAGAATAATTCCTTCATTCAGATGATATGCAGTATCTGTATTCACTCTTACACAGCAGCAGTGGTGCTAGGTAATTGTCACACGAGAACTATGTCACAGTATAGTTTTCGTTACGGTCAATAAGAAAGAACAAATGTGGTACTAGTACTTCAAGACAGTCGGAACTCATCTACACCTCTCATCTCTGGCTGATATAAAAAAACATCAACAAAAACATTCACCAACCTAAAAGTTTATTTGAACACGACGCACATATATAGAACACCTTCAAATATATTAAAATGGAATCTGGAAGTGAACATCACTAATAACTGATAAACAACTACAAAAAAAGTTGCATATAAGAAATTATGATTAAGTTTTAAGTTTATATAATTGTAATTTTTACACACCTGAAGATGGTTCATCTAAGAACCGAAACATGTAGTGAGAAAGTGATGTTCCAAATGTAAATCGAATGTTTCGATAAGGAGCATCACATGGTATTTTAACTATCTTAATTTTAAAACGGACACGATTAATTAATTAAATATATATTTTCACGATATGACGCAACTCTATCATCGCAGGTCTTGAATTTGTCAGAAAACCTGTTTTAAACTGTTTATTAACCATACGACTGCTTTAGGCCATCATCTTGACATCTTGAGAGTATGTGTATTACACATAATTATCAGCCTTTCAAGCGACATGCATTTCAGTTTTATGTCAAATACAAAACCAAATACCCTTCCACAGAAAGTCTACCATTAAAAAAACAAAACAAAAAAACAATTATTCTTGATCACTGTGATGTTTCCAAGGGAAAGCAGAACCATTTATTGACAAATACCATAGCTCTATGTAAGACTTGAGGTTCTCATAGCGGTGAGTATGAAGATTCCTGTCTTCTGGGTTGTTGCGCTGTGTAGT